TGTTTCGGATATTTTTTCAATCGTTTTAAATTACGCGATCACGATTTAATTTTTATCTAGGACTCCATTTTCGGCGTTGAACAGACAATGGATATTTAGCTTTTTTCATTTTCTACTTCTTAAATCTACCAGACAAGAGAAGCAGAACAAATTTACCTTCGAAAATAATTTTTTAAGTAAAAATAATCAATCTTTATTTCAAATAGAGCCAAAAACCTTGTAACTCTCCCATGGTTAGCTAGATGGTAATGAATCTATGATCTGTCGCTATATTTTGCACCAGCAATGCAGTCTCTGTGGTTAATATTAATTTAACCATCTATCAATCTATTAATCTACCATCTATTAACCATCTACCATCTATTAATGAAAAAAATTTGTTTTGCCAAATGCAGTTTGGATTTAACGTTTAATATTTTAATTGTATACTCACATTTTAAAGATTGTTGTGTTTTATTTTCAATTTAAAAATCCGAAGAAAAGAAAATTTGGATTGTATGAAAATTTTTTTCTGTACTGTGTGTCCCACTTAACAAAGTTATCTTGATTTTGTGCCACAATTTGACGCAAAGGAAACCAATGCGAATCAAACATTTATTTTATGAAAGTTCCAATATCCAAACACAATTTATGAGGAATCCAAATATCCAAACACATATTTATGAGGAATCCAAACATCCGAACACAATTTATGAGAAATCCAAATATCCAAACACAATTTATGAGGAATCCAAATATTCAAACACATATTTATGAGGAATCCAAATATCCAAACACAATTTATGAGGAATCCAAATATCCACACATATTTATGAGGAATAATCAACTCCCTGTTTGCAACTTGTATGGAGAATTGGTGGCCCAAGCTAGATTTTTCAAACAGTCTTCATTTTACTTTGGAAAATTTTCACAGTAGTGGATTTTGGATAACAGTGTGCCTGTCATGCAAGACCATATCTTTCCCATAACTTCAAATTTCTAAGAAAAAGTGGGGAAGGGGACATATCTTCAGTAGGACTGAATTTATCAAAAAGGGGCAATTTCAGTCTGCAGTCTACTATATTGTTGTATCCCTGTCCTCCAGGTATTGGTAAATGGTGAGCAACATTGTATATTTCAAGTCATATATAAATATAGCTGGTAATTTGGCTATAATCAGAAGTGACATTATATCGTTGGGACACTTTTTTTCCCTTTTACTTTTTCGATTTTTCTCTTGTCCAGGTGAAGCGGAGAGTGAGTTACTTTTTGTAAATATGTGTCTGAATATCGACTTATTTAATATATATTTCTGATTCACATTTAGTTTCCTTTGCGTTCAATTATGGCGCAAAATCAAAGTGACTTTATTTAAGTGGGATACATTGTATCATTTTGTAATTTGGTTAATAGTTATTTTTAAGTAGTAGATAGAATATTTTAAATAGAGATTTGAGTTTTGATGACAGCATTTTAGTAATTATTTCAGTCATTAGATTGAAAGTTATTCAGAATATTTTGTGTTTCTTTTTCTTCGATTTTAAATTTACATGATACAATAACTATAAAAATAGTATACTAAGTTGTCTAATATAAAAGAATATTTATTTTCAGCTCAACTTTTCTCAGATCACATTAGATCGCCAACAGGGACCGATCAAGACAAATTCAGGCCCAAGGCTCACCAAATTTTCTGCGCCCCTGACAAAATATTTCGAAATTAAATTACTAAAAAGTAGTCCTAATAATGAAAAGGAATTTATTGAACTGCATGATTCAAGAGAAACATTCTAAGAAATTTTGAAAGCAGACAATCGAAGATTTTTTTTTTAAGATGAAGTTTACGTATCTATATAAATTAAAGTAAAATATAAAACAACAAAACAATGCTATGTCAAAATAAAATAGCTTTGGTGACTACAAACAATTTAAATCAGTGATTTTTGCTAAAAGTCACTGATTAGCTGAATTATCTTTTATTGTAAGCTGTAATTATTTTTCATTTAGTACTTAAATCAACACATAGCTAGCCCACCTTTCATTAGATTTTTTACTAATTTTTGAGGACCCTCAGAAATTGTGGGCCCTAGGGCTATGCCTATTGGGCCTAGGCTATAATCAGGCCCTAAGTATAGATATTTTGTAAGACTTAATCTGTGTTATTTGAAAGATAATTTAAAATCAGATTGTGAACATGAATCAATATGCGAAATCTATAGCCGTTAACACCATTGAATACCTTGACACTCCTTCAATTTCTCCGCTTCGTATTGTCCGATGCCAAGTAAGTGATTTTCTATTGTTGTTGACAATTTGTTGCCAAGCGTACTAACGTCAGCCCTAGCCCGATGCGGGCTCGTTTAATGAAAAAAAGTTTCGGATTCGGGTGGGCTTAGAGTAATGATAAAAATTTCATAAACATTTTTACAACTTTTAAACAAAAGTTTGGTTCAGTTATCGAGTACAAAAAATTTATGAAGTATAAAAATTTCTACTTCTGTTCGGTGCTTATGCTTTGTGATGCTAGCGCTAATAGTCAAATGACTTTTATTTAGCTTAAGCGTTTGATTTTCCATTTTAATTTTTGCTTTATGAACTACTTGGTGCTTCAGTTTCTCTCTTCGCTTTCCCCCCAGGTTAGCGATTGAAAAGGTTTTAATTTACTAATTTCCTTGCTTAGACATCAAATTAGGTCAAGTAACGAGACTGCGAAAATTGGCCTTTACCCGGCATATATCTCGGGCTCTAAGGAATGATGTGTGTCTCGGCCTCGGACCTCCAAAAGCGAGACCAAGCTTATCTCTAAAGCTTACTTTCAATGTTCTTCCTCTCTAAAAATACTCGATAGTTCAATGAAATCTTCGGAGTTAATTAACTGAGCAACGCAAAAGAATTTTGCTTGATTAATAAGGCTAGTCTCAATTTTTTCACAAATGTCATCAAGCGAACCGGCCTGTGTAGGGGTTAGGGAACTGCCCTTGCATCAGAAAGGTTCTGGGTTCGAATCCCGGGCAAGGCATGGATGTTCTGTCCTATCTGTCCTTACTGTGGGAGCAACGTTGGCCCACCTAATATGGTGCCCCTGAAAGAGAGGCCAACAAAACTGCCCATTAAATGCCTGAATTGACGAAAAATGCTAACACAGGTGGGTATTGGAAAAAAAAATGTCATCAACTCCAGCTCTATAATTTCTTCTCTTCCTGATGGACATTATTATTGAGATTATTTTTACGGTCAAGATTATTTTTGCAGTTATTTTACTGTATATTTACGGTCACATGGTATTTTAAAATATTTGATTGATTAATCGGACTTTTATACTTACAGCCTCATAATACTTTTAAAATTTTTTCTGACTTATATTAAGGTATTACTGTATCAAAAAAGAGAAAAAAAAAGATTGAAACTATTTGTATGTAAACCTTCTGATTCTCTTAAAGCGATCCTTATTGGACACTTACTTTTGTTTTTCTATTATATACTTAATATTTCATGATTGTAACGTCTATGTCTAATATGCATAGTATGGAGAATAATGCATAATTACAGCAATATTTTCAAAACTGTAAAAGGCCAAATTTGACACATTCAAGAATCCTTTTGTTTTGGTGTCTCATTGATATCAACCTTTCTCTAAATGCTTAAAAATAAGTTATATAAAAGTAAATAATTCTTATATTAGAAATTTTCGGAACAAATTATTTAATTTCCATTTTGTTTTTAGATGTGCATTAGCATTCAATTACGAACAATGTATTATACAATGTAACTTGCAATTAAGAATTCGTTACTACATTGTAGTAAAGGATTCTTAATGTCGTCATAGGTAAGTTATTTATAAGCTTAAAAAAATTTTTTTTTTCAATAAGTAAAATTTCTTGTATCTTTGCTTGCATTTTATTGTTGTTTTTTTAAATTTTATTTCTGAAATTCTTAGAAATGAAAATAAATGGTTTTCTATTTAAAATGGTAGCTTTTTATTGCTGTTTCTAAAATTTCCAAATTGTTTTAAAATATTTTGGCAGCTATTTTTTACGATTCTCAAATATCAACGCCAGACAGGGAAGTCAACTCACATTTTTCGATCAAAAATCTGACACTATGTTTTTAGTTGGATGCAGCTTTACAATATACGAGTTCAAACAGTTATTTTTTTGGAGAAAAAAAAATCCAAATTAATAGAAAATATGAAATTAAATAACCTAAAGAAAATACTTACTACCAGTAAAAAATTTCAATTTTGTATACGCTGTCCCTTTTTCGAAAATGTTTTTTGAAAGTGTCACCTTCTAACACTTACAAGTACAGGGATTTTGCTGCTTTAGTGTCTTTCTATTTAATACATACAATAGATAATGTAATAGATATTATCTAACATACATATTAACAGCTATTGTAGTAATAGATAACATGCACTGAATCAATTAGATCTTAATCTAATAGATTCAACTACTTGATTTATTAATGTTACTTTGAAATTAATATGGCTAGTTTTATGTTATCAATAAAAAGAGCACCACTTTTTATTATGAATTTTCTTGTAACATTTTAAAATGTTCACAAAATGCAAATTAAAATGCGCTTTTTTCCTCCTTCTATATTGAAATTAATGTTATTAAAATTAACTGCAATATTTATTACACACCTGTGCAATTTCTTCAAAACATGACAAATTATTACATTACAAATTAACAGTGAAAAATTTGATTATAATAGTATCGAAGTTTTTCGCCTATTTCATACCTACCTAGTATAAAACCATCAAAATTAGAAGTGAATTAAATAAAACATATGAATGACATATATGTTCAGTTTGTGTTTGAGTGATTTTGGTTGAAATAATATACATAATTTAATGGTGATTTCTTCATATATATATATAGGATGTTCTGTAATGAACACCCTTAATATACACTTTTAAAATCCTTGTCAAAAATGAAGCATAAAACATACATATTTGGGGTTTCAAATAAATATTTAAAGGTGGTTATAATGGAATAGCATAGTAAGAACAAAGCATGTACAAAAAATGTTTTATAAATTTTTCATTGTAACATAAAATTTGGTGTAACAATTTCAAGAGAATTTTTGCGTGGTACCTCTAATAATGATAATCATTTCACAAAAATATATGAATAGATTCTAAAAGAAACCAGGATTAGTGTGTTCAATGATACATCTTTTACAGAATTTTTTAACTGTCCTATAACCATCTACAGTAATATTGCAATCTTGAATATTCAGTTGCTGAAGTCCTCGGCAATAAAAAGTTATTGCTCGTATTCCTTCATCTGTAATCATATCACAAGATTTAACGCTAAGTTTTTTCAAGTTTGGGCAATGTTCTGACAATAGACGAAGACCATTATCTGTTACATCACATTTACCAATATCTAGAGCTCTGAGCCTAGAACAACTTCTGGATAGGATTTCCATGCTATGGTCAGACACTGCTTCGCAACCTCGAACATTAAGATATCTCAGCTTGTAGCAATGACGAGCGATTTGCTTGATGCCAGCATCAGAGATTTGATCGCATTTAGCAACACTTAGGTACCTCAAATTAGAGCCAAGTTTGGCAAGTTCGTACATTCCAAAATCTGTTACTAAGATGCAGTCACTGATGCTGAAAAATAAAAGAGCATATTAGAATTTAAAGTATAAAAAAATACTTTTTAAATAGAATAGAAACCCATTAACTCGATTCGCTTTTAATCGAAAACTCGGTCAATCTGAGTCGATCAGATGATGATATAAATATGATGTCGGAAAAAAAAACGTCATTCAAATGCGAGATTCCTAAATCACTTGCATACCTACTAACTTTGGAGAGATAAAACAACGGAAATTTTACTTACGACATTTATTGGGCTACAAGTAAAGTTTTGATACGTCATGCATATTAATGTAAGTCAAAATCGAAAATATTAAAAGCACTTACATTGAGAGAAGTAAAAAATAGGTATATAAATTTTAATCTAAAGAAGATTTTGATAAAACCATTATTTATAATTACTTTTACTATAAACACTCAATATACTGTAGTGCTGGCAATAGCACCATCTGTTGAGGAATAAGAGAAGTATTTTTGCCATTGGCGGATATTTTATCGCCAAAATTCATTCCTTTTTAAAAAAATTTCTTCAGCAAATACGGAGAAATTTGAGAATATACGGGTAAACAGGAGGTAGTTTTAAAGTACAGGAGTCTTCGTTAAAAAACAGGGGACTTGGCAGGTATGCACTTGCATGCAAATCGCAGATCTAAAACTATTGAATTTTATTTTTCAAGAACTATTCGACAAACTTTGCGTCAGTTTTGTGTCTGATTCTTAAATTTAAATAATAGTTACACTAATTAATAAGCATATTTGAAGTCACCCCTTAGAATCATTAAGATTGACCCTTTGTTTGGGAAAATTCGATTATTGGAACAAAAGTCATTTAGGGTGATCTCTCTCTTTTTCTATTTTTCTTTTCTTTGTGCTTACTGTACACATAAACCAAATGGGAATTCGAACTTAAAACTTTTCCGGTCTAAATGGGAATTTCCCCCCTTCCCAAAAAGTAAAGGTAGCTGCAAAATTGTTGGGTAAAAATGGAATTTTATAACAGGTCATTTTTGGGTCACATGCTCTAGATTTTAGCAGTCTGTTCTTTTTACAGTTCAATAAATGAGTTACCTAAGCTCTCTCAGTATCACATAAATACTCAAATACTGGATATTGCTTTGATTCCACAATCAGTAATTTTTATTGTGGAATACAGATCGCTATGTATGACTTACCTGAGATATCTTAGCGTCATGTACAAACAGGGTTACTGGTCTTGATTCCACAATCAGTAATTTTTAATGAGATATAAAGTCAATTGTTATCTATGACTTACTTAAGCTCTCTTATCGTAAGCAAGCTCTGAATACTGTCTTAATTCCATTATCAGTAATTTTTAGCGTGATATACTTTTGTATAGATTTCATGCAGACGTTTATAACTTACCTAGGGTTCTCTGAGCATCATGAAAAAACTGGATTTTGCCTTGATTCCACAATCTGTAATCTTTTTTAGATATATATAAATTTTATTCTGGAAGCTATTTATGACTTACCTAAGCTCTTTTAGCATCATGCAAAAACTGGATATTGCTTTGACTCCACAATCAGTTATTTGAACGCATCGTCTAAGATAGAGATGAGAAATTTGTGGAGAATTTCGGGCTACGGTTTTTAAACCGAAATCATCCAGACTGTGGCAGTCAGTAAGATCCAGGAACTGAAGATAAAGCTGTCTGTGATGAATAACTTGAGGTGGCAGATGATGGGAATCATTTGAAAGATGATCTAAAGCTGAATCAGATCTATCGGATGAAACCAATCTCGGCTGAAGAGTAGTAACGAGTTGACATCCTACAAAGAAAAAGAAATCAAATTTCATTATTGTAGTACAGCCATGAACTGCAATAATGCAAGAAACAACACTGTATGAATTAGCAATTATATTGCATTATTATAGTGTATTTTCCTGAGACTTTAACACTAAGAATCCCATAACTGATCAAATGACCGTTTAAGAACTTTTGCATCGGAAATGCGCTTATCATCTTATCGTTTTTGCAAATTTGACTTCATGACTTTTTCCAACAATTACATACAGTTAATATTCTATTATTATTTGGTTTTTTCGAATAATACTTGTCGCGTATGCCTATTTCTACCACAACCGGTCATTTGACCGGGAGAACTATTTATTGCTTTATAAGGTTATTGGATCAGAAATTACGATGTAATGCGTGTTCAACGTATTGCATTCGATTAGTTGCACATTTCTGCAAAGACTGTTGCGTAGTTAGTTCAATCAGAATAACTGTGAGATCAAATTTCAAGAAAGTACCTAAAATTTTAGATTGGCATTTTAGTGTAAAAAAAAGTGACAATTATAATTCTTATATATTCTTATAATAATGAGAATAATTAAAAGAATTGTAGAAATAATAATAAGTAGAAGAAATATGTTTTCGGAAAATGTACAATGGAAACAACCTGTATATGTAAAAAATTTGGTGAGCAATGAATAAAAATTCTTATTCTTTGTTTTTGTAATACATAAAAACTTGCAATATACAATTTTGTTTAATTATAATAAAGGTTTTTTAGTTTATTTCCTTTCTAACATTCATAATTCTTACATTCAATCAAGAAACATTGAGTTCAGTCATTTGACCGGCTATGGTAAAAATAGGTATAGATTAAATGTTGGTATGTTTAGTGTTAAACTACAGTAGAAAATGCAGATTTTTGAAAAAAAAAAAAAAAAACACGAATACGATAAAGAGTTCTTTTAAATTAAAAATTCTATTAATTAAACATTTTTTAGTTGTTTTTAACTACTATATAAAAAATGATAATTTTGTAAAATTTTTTTTGCATGTTGCAGGACATTTTATAGTCTATTTCTTCAGATTTTGGTCATAAAGCAAAATCCAGTAGACTGAAATAATAAGATACATTATAAAAACTGTTAAATTTACTCGAAATAAATTTACCACCTTTCTAATAATTTTTGTAACAATTAAAAACTCTGACTAACGAAGATAAAAATCCTATTTTTATCAATAATCACTTTGTTAAGGCAGGAAAAAATGCTGTTTTTTAGGGATAAAATTGTAGCTAAAGTTGTTTGTGTCTCAAGAGTGTCAGAAAAACAAGGATATGAATAATCCTTATGACAATTGAGCTACAATCAAATGATAAGAATGAATATGCTAATTAATTAGTGCAGTGTGGACAATAATTTAAGTCGGATACAAAAAATTACTTTAAATTATCTTTTTGCGATGGAATTAGATTTCATACCATCAAAAGTAGGAGAAGTTTGAGTTTTGCTTCAAATAGTTTAGTTAGAAGATACGTTTTGGGATGTTTTGACTTTTTGTTTTTCGCCGTATCTTGCGAACTGCCAGCTCAAAAAAATATTTTTTCAAAGTCATTGATCACTACGTCATACTTGATCGTGATCAAATGTAATAATTTTGTTAAAAACTGGTAATAATTTTGTTAAATATTGTAATAGGGCCGTGATGGCTCAAGAGATAGAGCGTTCGCCTACCAATGAGGTGGACCGGGTTCGAATCCCAGAATTCCACATCCTGCTTGGACCGACCACAGTGCTGACGTGAAACATCCTCAGTGGTAGATGGATCATGAGTTAGAATTCCCTTGCCGTCAGGCTAACCGTCGGAGGTTCTCGTGGTCTTTCTCTCCATGTAACGCAAATACGGGTTAGTTCCATCAAAAAGTTCTCTACGATCAGGCTAACCGTCGGAGGTTCTCGTGGTCTTTCTCTCCATGCAACGCAAATACGGGTTAGTTCCATCAAAAAGTTCTCTACGAAGTCAAATTTCTCCCAATATTTGATCCAGGAGTTCCTTTGTCTTCTGGATTGGGTTCAAAATTACAACGCTGCGTAGTTGAACATTAGTAGTCGTAAACCCAAAAATTGGGTCGGCTGTTCAGCGACGAAAAATATTGTAATCGAGGCCATGGTGGCTCAAGGGATGGAGGGCTTGCCTGCCTATGAGATGATCCGGGTTCGAATCTCAGCGATGGCTGGTCGATTCAAACTCCACACCCGGTTCGCACTGACCACAGTAACATATCCTCAGTGTTAGACGAATTATAGGTTAGTGTCCCCTTGCCGTCAGACTAACCTAACCATTCGAGGTTTTCTTCTCCAAGTAAAGCAAATATGGGTTAGTTTCATTAAAAAGTCCTCCACGAAGGCAAGTTTCTTCCAATACTTGATCCAGTAGTTCCCTTATTTTCTAGATTGGGTTCAAAATTACAAGACTACGGAGTTGAACATACGTAGTCGTAAATCCAAAAATTGGGTCGGCTGCTCAGTGATGGTTATAAAATAAAAATAAAATATTATAATTAAATTAATAAAAAATAATTTTTAACAATGATTTAATATTAATTAATTTAATAAAGATAAAGGATTTTTGAATTTAAAGGTATAAAAGTTTTTACATGATTTTGAAGTAAGTATTTTTTATATCGAAATCCAAAATGTGAGCTAAATCGGAATTGATTCCTAATAAATAGAAATTCAGATATATGACTTTTTTTTTTATCAATATGCAACCTACTCAACTTATTTTGCTCCAGTTTCAAACTTAATCAATTAAAATTACAATGAACAACTTTACACAACGAACTTTAACTTCGGAAAATTATTAAAAATTAAATCAAATTTCAAAAACGAATCAGAACAATCAATGATTAGGCTTTATTTTACACTTAAAATTTTCTAGCATATCTTTGCATTTATTAAATAATTACTCTACTTGCGTTAAATAGTTTTTACCTATTCATAGATTTGATATTCTTGTCAGGAGAAAAAGGCATATTTACTCGAAAGAAGAAATTACTAATAGCTAAAAAATTTCAACTCTAGAAAACCAACATAAAAAGAAAAATGAATCTAATTCCATAATAGAATAACTCAAATTAATGATAGGGCTTTATTCTACATTTTTAATTGATATAAATAATATATTTAAAATCTATTCGCCTAGTGTTAAACTATTGATTTTATTTAAAATATTGGTTCATTTTATTGTGAAAAAAGGAACTTGTCAATTTATCAAAAATCTTAATTTCAAAAAAGTTTATAAAATTTTTACATCAGGAGATAAACATGAATAAAAATGAAATGAATAAAAAAGAATAAATTCGAGTGAAATATTATTTGCATTTTTAATTGATTTAAGTAATATATTTAAAATCTATTCGTCTAGTGTTAAACTCTATTGATTTCATTTAAAATATTTGTTCATTTTATTTTAAAAAAAGGAACTTTTCAATTTATCAAAAATCTTATTTTCAAAAAAGTTCATAAAATTTTTACACCAGAAGATACACATAAATAAAAATGAAATAAATGAAAAAGAATAAATTCGAATGAAATATTATTTGCATTTTTAATTGATTTAAGTAATATATTTAAAATCTATTCATCTAGTGTTAAACTCTATTGATTTCATTTAAAATATTTGTTCATTTTATTTTAAAAAAAGGAACTTTTCAATTTATCAAAAATCTTTTTTTCAAAAAAGTTTAAAAATTTTTTACATCAGGAGATAAACATGAATAAAAAAGAATAAATTCGAATGAAAGATTATTTACATTTTTAATTGATTTAAGTAATATATTTCAAATCTATTCGTCTAGTGTCAAACTATTGATTTCATTTAAAATATTTGTTCATTTCATTGTGAAAAAAAAAGAAACTTTTCAATTTATCCAAAATCTTATTTTCAAGAAAGTTTATAAAATTATTACATCAGGAGATGAACATGAATAAAAATGAAATGAATAAAAATGAAATGAATAAAAATGAAATGAATAAAAAAGAATAAATTCGAATGAAAGATTATTTACATTTTTAATTGATTTAAGTAATATATTTAAAATCTATTCGTCTAGTGTCAAACTATTGATTTCATTTAAAATATTTGTTCATTTTATTGTGAAAAAAAAATAAACTTTTCAATTTATCCAAAATCTTATTTTCAAGAAAGTTTATAAAATTTTGACACCAGAAGATACACATAAATAAAAATAATATGAATAAAAAAGAATAAATTCGAATGAAAGATTATTTGATATATTTAAAAATGATTCTTTAGTGTTGATAAGAGAGATTGATGAGAAATGTTGATTTCATTTCGGCATAAACAACTCTTTGAATGTAAAGATAGACTGGTTGGGTAAGTGCCCTCCCCCCTCCAGCAGGGAAAGATGGGAGCAATGCACTGTTCTAAGTAAAGGGAAATAAACAAAAATAATCCAAATCATTTTTTAAAGTAAGCTTGAAATGACTTTTTTGTTTTCAGTAATGACAGGGATTCTACAAAAATTCAAAATTCAGGTTTGAATGGCAAACCAATTGGGATTGAACTAGCTTCAAATAGTTTTATTATGGCTATTTTTCAAAGACTCGGGAAAACAGTTATACATGACTGTTTGGTCAAGTTTAGCCTATATTTAATAAGCGCACTCTATGCTAATTCTGAAAATGACGCAAAGCGATAATATGAAGAAAAGCCATAATTATGTTAAAATAAATAGCGTTTGTGATATAAATTTTTTAATATTTAAAAGTTACTCCAACGCTCCATTATCTGGGCTCTGCAAAAATTGAGAATATAATTCATTGATTTTGATAATTTTCTTTTAGGTGAGAAAATCTCGCCCAATAGACGATTTATAGTAAAATTAAATAAAATTTAAAATAGTTTTTGACCTTTCTTAAATACAGAAAATATTTTACGGCAAGATCGTATATAAAGTCTCAAATAATAGCTTTGCTTCTAGGTTCATTAACTGTTGCTTTCCTTGGCGAA